AAGATATTCTTAACAAGTTCACTAGAATAATAATGTGGAAACCTTCTGCGACGGTTAGTCTTGTATGGGGCAGACGATCTAAATATGTTATTCAAAATATAGTATAGAAAAATTCATTACAAACAGTATTAACGTGACCAGCACCAAGGACAGCGGACCAATCGGGATTTAGTATCAAATCATACATGAGCGGGAAATTTGCTTTCCTAAAATTAATTTCCTTAGGTAGTTCCTGATTGAGCTTAAAGTTATCGATATGCACTGAGGAATTATCAAATATTATCTGCAAACTGGGATAATTTCGATTTCCCACAAGTGGCGGTACGTTTTTTATAACGGTGCAATAGAAATTAGCAAGTACAAGATCAAGCAAACCACAGCTCATGTTTAGTACCCTATTGTATTGATCGATATTAAGGATGTTATTGTCATTGAAATTTTCCAGAAGTACCTAGACATTTCTGGTCAAATGTGTTCGAGTTGTAACGAGAGATATTGAAGTCACCTAATATTAATACATTATATTTTCAAACAAAGAACAAAGTAAAGTGAATTGTTCTAAAAATGATTCAAAATCAGTAAGAGTTACTTGAGGCGGGATATATAGAACAAGGACACATAAAAAATTATGACGTACTGTAATTTTACAACCAATAACGTCGATTAAGGGAACAATGTGATTCGAAAAATCCGCCAAGTTAATCAACACGCACAATAGATCCTTGGAAACACCAACTAAAACACCGTCTCCACGAGCAAGATTTGTAGCTTCAAATTTTCGATCCGAACGGAAAACGATAGAAGAGTTGGGAAAGATAACGTTTTGGTAGCAGCAAGTTAGGCAGAGGTTGTTTGGGTTGCTGCGTCTTGGGCTGGGATCACGACAAGTAGAATTCTACTATCATGACGTCACCCGCGATTTATTTATCGCGTACAGTACAGGCGATGATGACGGTTGCTAGACAACCTGACGTCATGAAAGTAAAATTCTAGTAGAATTCTACTTGTCGTGATCCCAGCCCTGGTTTTTTGAGACGATTTTTGGGATACCATTGATTTAATGCGCATGTCTCTCACCGTTCTTCGTGCGACGATCAAGTTAACACCTAGCAGCGTTAAAGTCATTTCGTTGTCTTGGAGTCATGTCAATTTGAATGTAGGTTTGAGATGACCTAATGGCTTTAAGTTTATTGCGCAAAACCAAGCTAGCACCGGATACATTGTCAATAGTGACTTTAAGAGCTTTGCGTCCGTTTTTGTTTGGTTTGCCAATTTTGATGACCTTATTGATACTAACAGGTTAAGAACATATCTGTGAAAACAATAGACCTATCTATTTTACCAGACAAAGAGGTAATTATACGAAAACTTCATTAGATAAAAAAAGACACAGAATGTTCATTGCGCAAGACGAGGCAAAACGTACCAAGTTATGTTAGACTTACGTATAGCAATCCGTTCTTCTTATTTGCACGGGATAAAAAAGGAAGGAGAAAGACCGCATGTTGTGCAACGTATTTGTCAAAAACAATTTTCGAATGTCACTTGTGAAGTAATGTCAAGTTGAATATTAATCGTACTTTTATTCTTGTCAGACCACGGGCAATGAACAAGGACAAGGAGATACTCAGCGTACAAAACGAACACCTCTCACCTGTACTAGTTAGCCAATAGAAAGGCATTGCCTCGTGTTGCGCGCGCATACCAGGTAAAAATAGATAGGTCTATTGGCTGATCTGAGTAGTTTCGGTATCACCATCACTAAGCGGAAAGTTAAAAACCATAACATTGTTAACACGTTTCTGACGATCAACAATCTCGCCCATTATATCTGACTCATTGAAGCAGTCGCAGATGCTGACTGAGAAATAGGACATTGAGGATTAACGAGGATCTTTTCCAACTTATCCAACAGAGCGTCATACTTGTCCTCCACTTGACTTCTCAGTAATGGTATACCCCCCCAAGTTCTCCTTGCAATCTTTGCAGAAATACTTAAGACATCGCTTATCTTTCTGTTCGATCACTCTAATTTTAGAGGAAGACAGTGGAGTAAAAAAGTAGTGAAATTTTAGCTTACAACCATCGCACACAGCAAAAATCACAGAATCACCGATTATTTTCTCACAACCACCAACAGGAACTCATTCTGACTTGTAATGATCGCCCGCTTACAGTTAACAAAGTTGGCACGCCAGAGTAGGTCCCTCCTCGGACAGATCTTTATACCCGGTAAGTGTTCTTGAACGCACTCCCGACCAATGAATGAACTCCCGACAAATTTCCGTTGACTAGAGCAACGGCCGAAATTTTTTATTTAAAAACAAACAATAAATAATTTATTTACGACTAATGTATAATGTCAGAATTATTATACTTGTAATTTTGGCAGTATAATGACATATGTTATTCCCCCAGGGAATAATGACGAGTAGCGGGATTAATGATCATTATTCCTCAAAAGTGTCAGTGTCAAACGTGTAGTGCTTGTGGATTTGTATTGAGAATTTGAGATGAATGAAATTTGTTCATTAAAAATCTCAAATAAATTAATTTGTCGTAAATAAAGTAGAGTATACTACTCGCAATAATAGCTATCACTCACATAACAGTGAAAGAACATTCATATTCTCAGAATATTCCCTCAAAGTACTTTTTGGAATGTTCTTTTAGGAATGTTCAATGAATATTCTAAGATTGTTTCGATTGAAATATTAATTTTTGAACTTTCTATTTATGTACTAGGAATGTTGCTTCTATGCACCTACCTGAAAGATTGTGCTAAGAACCTACTTTATATAACATTCTTTGAATATTCTCATACGAACATTATTATAATGTACCCTAAAAAATGTTCTTTAAGCTAATATCTCTATCAAGTATTAAGATTATACCTACCTAGCAAGTTGTGCTGAGAAGTTTATGTAAGTAGGTAACCATGATAAGAATATTTTCATATTGTTCACCTAATTATCTAAAGTACCTACTCAAAAATCTTAATTATACAATTGAACAATAATGCTCTATCTAGAACCTACCAAGAATATTATAGGTATATTCTTTTTCTTTTGCTTTGTATGACTTCCAAGAGAGGGAGCGACGCGCTATTAAAGATCTGCATCTTGCCTCGCATTTGAATCGCCTTGGAACCTGTTTCTCTCAGTTGGCGTGCTTCGACGAGAGCATAACAAGCTCGAAACCGGAGCTTTGGTTAAATACTCGTGTTTTCTAGAGAAGTTTTCCAACAACTCTTTCACTGCCTTTAATATAAAAGGGCTGAAACGAGTATTATTTGGAAGCGAAAATTAACATTCCAAGTATATCCTTAGAATCAAACAAGAATATTATGTCTAGGATGCATATTGAGAATGATATATGTAGATATATTCTAAGAATATTTCAAGCATATTGGTATAATATTCTTTTGAGAACAAAACTATAATGTCATAGAAACATTCTTTGAATGTGAGAATATAGGTACGTTTCGAGCATATTTTTAGAATCAAACAGGAATATTCTTTTCAGGAAGTACTGAGAATCTCATAGGTTCTAGGAATATCCCAATGGATTTCCCAGGAAGTTCTTGGGTATTGCAAACAGTATTTCTACAATCTTTTCTCAGAACATTCTCAGGACATTCGCAATGGTTTTGGCGAACATTCTAGGCACATTCCTCCTAAAAAAAGAACATTCTTAATACATTCTAAGGATGCAATTTTGTTATGTGGGCATATTGACTCGTGATATAATCTACTATAATGCGATAGGGCTATTATAGGACAATTGGGCATGGCATGGAAAACATCAGCCGCAAATACTTCCACGAACAACGAAAATTATGCATTATAGATCTCACAACTAAGAATACTTCCGTTTAAACTAAAAACAAAATGTTATTAATTTTCGGATGTCGGATGCCATGAATGGAATTTTGCGAAAGAGAGCCATTAATTTTTGTGATAGGTGTGATGAAATTAATAGTGAAACGTGTCCCCCTGGAAACAAAAGTTTACGGGTCCGAAGGTTTTTTTTTTATTTCTACTTTCAAAGCCGTAAATCTTGCTGGACTGTTTTCGATGAGCCACCCTGTATAAGTAGGTATATTATTATATTTGAGTATCTATATTTTGAAGCGTTTTTGCTACCGAGGTCTTGAATTGCGTACAAAATGTTAAAGTCAGATATGATAAGACAATCAAACGTTTGTCTGTAGGGTGTCGGGTGTCTCAAAAAAGTTGCAGCATTATTTAAAAATAGGTTTTGTGAAAGGAAGTGCGCCGTGCGCCATATTGGATTTTCACTCATATTTCCAGATTGTGTTTTGAATCGTTAGCCTGATTGTTTATCTCCAAAACAATCCCTGTATAAAGAAAATTTGACGACTAGAAAAAACGTGGCGAGTGACTGAAATACCAATCTTTAGTTTGTGGTATTACTATAAAAATTAAAATCCGATATTTCGAACATATCCAGCGCTATTCAAAATCAAATTTTTGAAGAAGTCCGCCATCTTGAATTTATCTTATATCAACCAGCTACTTAGGAAAGGAGGGCCTGGTATTCAACCTTATTAATTTAATTGCCGATTTTATCGGATGTTTATTGCAATTCAGCAATAAATTCATATAAATAGTGGGCCAAGCCGAGCAACAGATATACTTGAACCAGTATTAGTACCGTCACCCTGGGAACACCTCACTGAAGTCAAGTCTCCCAGTGCAAGTACTGCCACCCTGGGAAAGCCCCTCTAGATGAGGATCAGTTAAACGACGATTAGCATTCAACGTAGTACCGTCAAATGTGTGGCCCTATCTACGGAAGACCGTGCATCCAAGAGGATTAATGACGTAATGATTTCATAGCAAATATACACTTTTTTATATAAAACTCAGCGAGTTTCTCTCCATCTATCTACCCTACACCCCCCGTCACAGAGAGGTTGTGACAATATTATTACTTTTCTTTTACCTTTCGAGGCAAGTATAAAACATTTAACTTACCTGTATCTGTTCAAAAGGTACTTCAAAAGTAAAAGATTCATTGTAATAAGGATTGAGTGTGCACTTTTTGATGCTAGTCTTCTTCTTTTTGAGGCGTTTCCCGTTTTGCATCAGGGCGATCTTAACGTAAGGATCTAAGAAACGAAATTTGACTTACTTTGAAGCGACCAAATAAATCAAAAAAATATTCTTACCAGAAAGACCACCAACATCCATTTTCTTCAAATTCTTGGCTTCCAAGATGACAACGGTCAATTTCCCAGCAGTGGGAACGTATCTCAAAGAGAAGCAAATGTCTCCCAACTTATTGTCCTGCAATAGTTTATGGTAGAGTAAGCTGAATTAGAATGTTCTTCACAAAGTTTGATCACATCTAAATCTTGGTTGCGATGCTCTCAGAAAATTGTTGAGCTAATTTGTAGGTACTTTTTTTGGTAAGTATTCAATTTTTGCTTAAATTTTTGCATAATTTTTTAAAATTTCATAATCTTTTTACACCTCTGATGGATTTAACAAATTTATACTTGAATATATCAAATATGAGAAGCTAAGACACAAAATAGTGAGAGAAACAGTCCATAAACACGTATAAAATTGAGAAAAAACAACAAACAAAACAACACTGGGGGAAATTGGCATGCGCAATCAAGACTTGGGTGTCATCAAGCCAGTTTATTAGAGGAATTATAAACAAAATACAATCGTGGTGGATTCAGGAACACACTGAAAGAGAACTAAATAACTGATTTACAGACCAAATATTAATTAAATAAATGGACTATGTGCACACGTTTTAAAGGAAAAACAACAGATCATAACCGACATAGTGTTGTTGGAAAAACACCTAAAAAATTAATTATTATTTACCTTCGTTTCGTACATAACATTGTGTTATTAAGTAAATCGTATCTAAAACTTGTCTGCATTGTTATTAGGTTATTTAAAATGTTGTGTTACCTATATTTTTTTCTAAAAACACCCAGCTCAAACCAGCTTATAAAAATCTATATAATTGAATCTTACAGCAACTTCTTGAAATATCTATGAATACCTATGCTATTATTCTCTATATAGAATAATTTTCAGCTGTTCTCTTTTTAGAAAATCTTCAAAGTTTGTAAGCCTTAAATTTGATTTTTAGGTTTTTTATACCAAGTATGATGAAAATTTTTATTTTAAAAATAGGTTGAAAGTAGTTCAAGCAAATATAAAAAGTTGTTGTAAGATACCTATTGAAATAAAATCTAAGTCACAGTACGTTCTAAGTATCTATTGTAAATTGTTTACCATTGGCGGGTTAAAAGTAAAGGCCAGTTCTAGGAACTATGTAAAAAATCAGCTGTTTAGATAAATTATTATAGGTAATTTATCATATGAACTAATTGCTAAGAAAAAATGTTAGTATGTATGAAAAAGGTACCTTTATAGACATCGGGAAATTCCAACTTTAGTGGATAATTTTACCAACAACTAGCAAATAAATTATTGGGCAAATGTGAAACCAATACTAAGTTTTTAAGGTTTTAGTGGTTTTGTTATTGAAAATATAGCTTGGTTTCACAGTTTTTGCCATGTGAAATAAATATGTACTGTGCTGTTTTATCTAACTAATTGGTGCTGGCATGCTGGAAGTAAAAAACTGGTAGAAACCAACTTGTTTTTAAAATGTAAAACTTATAGAATATTATACATAGGTGAGTTTTTGTGTTTAATAAAAATTTAGAGATAATTTGCCTAGTGAGCATCAGTTGGAAGTTTGAGATTTTATTTTGCTTTTTTTTTTGAAAATTACAAAGTATTTTAGCAAAAACAGTTCAGAAGCGATTATATACGTGCGCAGAACGATAAATTTATGGACTACGCGGGGTTTGTAACATTTATAATTTTATAATAAATGAACTGATAATTAAAATTCTTTGGGCAGAGGAATTTATCAATTTATTTTATTTCATGTTAATTCGAAACCGTCTTTTATATCGGATATCACGAATTATGAAACAAATAATTGAAATACGTCACAATATTAACGAGCGGGAACAAATGACTCTAAAAATTAACGTGCCCGTTTCAGCCCATCTTTCAGAGCATTCCTATCCAAAATCTTGGATGAGAAGGACAAGTTGCGTCGTTCATCATTTTGAAGTGCGTATTATGCTATTGAAAATGAAGAGAAAGTTAAGGAAAATTGGAGGATTAAACATTTTGGTCCTGGGCGGGATTCGAACCCGCGTCCTCAGCATTGCCGGTGCTACGCTTTAACTAATTAAGCCACCATGACCCTACAGCTCTTTTTAATTTTTTTTTGATGTTGTTAGAGGAAGTTGCGTGGTTCACCGCTTACTGCCAAACTTCTCAATCCTCCAATAGATTCACACATTTTTTGCATCGCTCCAAACTCGAATAAGCTCCTTATTACTATGTAGGTTTCGCCCATATGTGTGGAAACTTGGTGTATGCGATGTGCGCATAAGCAATGTTGAAAGGAATAAAGTTTTTGTCGGTTAAAACAACCGAAAAGGGTGGAAATTGAAAATGAAGAGAAAGATAAGGAAAATTGGAGGATTAAAAATTTTGGTCCTGGGCGGGATTCGAATCCGCGTCCTCAGCATTTTCCTTAACTTTCTCTTCATTTCCAATTTCCACGCTTTTCGGATGGGGGAGGGTGCAGGGGCTGGTATACCGGGTCCCCACCCAGATTACTTTCCGGCTGCCATTTTTTTATTTGTTCATCGATATCAACGAAATTTAGTAGGGTTGATATTCTAACCAAACGCCATTTTTATGCATTTATGACAACTTTTTCTGACTTCCGGTTTCACCGGAAATTACCGAAACTTTTGATTTTCAAATGGCACACCCTGTATATTTTTTGTTTATCGGATTCTACAGATCGTTTTACGTCCTAATGAACCACTTTTAAATCGAGTTTTGTCCAAATTTCGTTTTCAAATTAAATTTTAAGTAGAAAAAAAAAATTACCTACAAAAATAAGTATATGAACGAAAATTGAGAAAAATGTCGTAGTGTATTATATCGTTGGATTCGCTTTAAAATACTGTATTTAGTAATGTTATGAAAGTGATATGTTTCTATACTACTTTTTGAGCTAGGGCAAAAATACTGAAATAATGGAGTTTACAGCCCTCTATCAAAAAAGTTGACAAAAATAAGATTGAGTTTGTATTCTTCTGAAATTAAGTAAAGTATGTAGAGTCATTTTAGGATGATCATGGCACTCTAGTTAAAAAAATAAAATTTAATTTAAAAATAAAATTTGGACAAAAATCGATTCAAAAGTGGTGCATTAGGATGTAAAACGATCTGTAGAATCCGAAAAATAAAAAATATACAGGGTGTGCCATTTAAAAATCAAAAGTTACTGTCATTTCCGGTGAAACCGGAAGTCGGGAAAACTTGTCATAAATGCATAAAAATGGCGTTTGGTCAGAATATCAACTCTACCAAGTTTCGTTGATATCGATAAATAAATAAAAAAATGGCAGCCGGAAAGTGATCTCGTGGGCACCCGGTATACAGTGAGTTCATGAAGTCCCGCATAAATTCATTATTTTGAAAACGGTAGAATTTTGGAAAAATCGCTCAGACACGTAAATTTTGTTTTTTTGTTTGAAATTTTTCGATATATTTTTTATCATACAGGGTGTCTCAAAAATAGCTTCGCTGGTATCAACTCAATTTTTTTAAATGGTACCCCTGTATATTAGGACATTTCCGGATTCTGCGGAAAATTCTCGACATATTTCATGTACAATGTCATATACCTATCTTCAACTGATTCGGAAATATTGACAGTTGAAAGTTGACTTTTTTGCAACTTTGACAGGCTGTAAAACCTAAACGGTTGATTTAAGAGGAAACCCGATTTTACATCCCTGTCTTAGATTTTCATAAACTATCATTTGACACCAACTTTAATTAAACCAGAGATTAAATTCAACCGGAATTTTTAATCTTGGATTAACTCCAAAGTTGGTGTCGAATGATAGTTTTTCTATTTTGGTGTCATATCGAAGTCTTTTCGACACTAAAAGTAGTTTCGAAAAGAAGCTCTTTGTGACACTCCTTTTTTACTTATCGAAGGTTGGTAACACTGGCTGACTGATGGCCATTGAACTGTCATTTGCGATTTTATAATAGAAGATTTCTATATTTGACATGTAGTGTTACCAACCTAAACATATGAAATCAAGAAATATGAGAATATAATTTCCAAGAAAAGTTTTTTTTTTTAAATTAAACAATACCAAAATAGAAAAAATAGTATAAAATATTCGTTTCATAAGACATTTTATCGCACTCGCCCTTTAGAAAACTCGCCTCCGGCTCGTTTTCTAATATAGGGCTCGTGCGATAAAATGACGTCTTATGAAACTTGTATTTTAATGTACTATTATAGAAACTAAGACAAGAATGTATGATCGATTTTGCTGTAAAATCAACCGTTCAGGTTTTACAGTCTGTCAAAGATGCAAAAAAGTCAATTTTCAACTGTCAATATTTTTGAAACAGTTGAAGATAGGTATATGACATTGCACAGGAAATATGTCTAGAATTTTCCGTAGAATCCAGAAATGTCAAAATATACAGGGGGTACCATTTGAAAAAATAAAGTTGATACCAGCAAAGCTATTTTTGAGACCCTGTATGATAAAAAATATATCGAAAAATTTCAAACAAAAAAACAAAATTGACGTGTCCGAGCGATTTTTCAGAAATTCTACCCGTTTTCAAAATAATGAATTTATGCGAGACTTTATGAACTCACTGGATAGGGAGAGACCTGTGGCGAGAATTAGTCTTGCACTGGATCGATAGCTAACGGTATACCCGACTAAAATCTAAGCCATACAGACTCAGGACAATCTCCAGAGAGGTTACTCGAGCAAGCATACAGGGTGTATCAGGTTTGAATACAAAAATTTTAACACGTGAAAATATGGCCAATTTTGAACAAAAAAAGTTTATACTAGGTACATGGGGTCCAAACATTTTTAAGAAAAAGGCCTTTGAAGTTTAGACATTTTTTGACGAATATTTGATAGAGAAAATTTTAATCATTATGAGATGTAAAAAAATTTAGTTCATTCAATTATTTTAGTCAACAACATTAAAAAAAAAAAATTTAAAACAACATGAAAATTTCACTCGTAAATTGGTATCTAAACATCTGGGAGCATAGCACATCACACACACTTGATTTGTCCTCTATCAGTTAGTTGAAGCATTGCAAACGCGCGTAATTAATTTTTAATTTTTTTGAAAATAAAATGTTTACAAACGTCGGATATTGC